ATTTATTATAAAATTTGAACATTGCCGTACAATCTTGTGGATGAGAAACATTTAAAACACAAATAGGACGCGCATCATTAATTTTACAGGAAAAAAAGCAACTACACTTGCCTCCGATTACTCACTGCAGCATGAAATGTTTCTATAAATATAATATTATTAAAAATATATTATTTATAAAATGTTCATAGTGCGCGTTCAATTTGTGTTTTAAATGTTTACGTTGATTTTCATACATAATATTGTACAGCAATGTCCAAATTTTATGATAATAATTAAAACTTTAAGATATCTTATTATTTATTATTGTATGTAATAAAAAGTACAATTATTAGTATTTTTATTTAAAAGAGAAGAAGAAAAATTAATTACATTATAAAATATGATTGTTATTAAAAAAAAAATTAACACTGCGGAGACTCGAACTCTCGTCGGCCGGATAAGAAAAAGTATAATCGTGCATTTCAGTTCGCTCAGTTACGTCGCTTTCTTGTTTATCGACACATAGTTCCAATATTTATACAATTGGTCAGACGTCCAACTTGGATTTTCTCAGAATCAGAAGCCCATCTCCACCCAAACCCTTTTACAATGTTAGTACACGTAATAACTGCTCCCCTTTCGAATGAGCTATAGCTCATCCCATTTGGCACTTTATAATTCCTACCATCTCGTTAATTTTGTACAAAGATAAATCATACTTTGATTTTTATACAAATTAAATATTAATTTGATTAAAAATAATATATACAAATGCAGTAAAACCTCGATTATCCGATATCACAATTATTTGCCTATGCATTATTTGAACCCCGATTATCCGACACCATTTTTTTTGCGTTTATAATAACCTAAACTAATCTAGAAAGAAAAAGTTGAAAGCATTTAATTCTTGTCATCCGGCGAGACTTAGTAGAAATCTCAGAATATAAAAATAAATTGTAAATGATATAACATTGACATTGTTTACTTCTCTATTTACCCGATGTATATGTATACTCGTATATTACGAATAAAGTTCGCATGGTGTGCAGTGTCGGCATTGCACAACGTGATGTGTCAATGATATTACATGTTTGTTCCGTAGATGGCTAAATAAAGTAAAGTCCGAAAATATTGGTTTTAGAAGTGGCAGCAATTCGGAAAGATAAAAATTATGAAGCTCTAGGATTGTATGAAATACCGATAGAACTACTAAAATTGTTAAATGACAATGAAATAGTGAAGTTAACAATGATATTCAATCATATCGATCAAGAGAGATCCTCCGAGAATGGCTCTAATCAACATGCATGCCTCTACCAAAGAAATGTAAGCCGAGTACATGTGCTGATTTTTGTCTAATCAGCTTAATGAATCTGAAGATCCTATTAAAAGTAATACAAGGGAGTCCGTTGTGAGAACATTTGTGCGCCTCGCAATTCGGTTTTCAGGACGGTCTTAGAACAAGGGAAGCACTGTTTTGTATGAACGTATTGGGGCAAAAATGTAAGGAATTTCAGAAATCAGTTTACATCTATTTTATTGATTTCAAAAAGGCTTTTGAGTGCAACTCAAAGTTCTACTGTATGCATATATATTTTTATATATTTTTAAATGTCCTTTTAGTTCATTTCGAACAGATTACACTAATTTATAAAGAACTCAAGAAGACGAATTCTTTTTAAGTTCAAACGGATCAATCGTGCTACCTGGAATGCTTTTTCCAAGTAGAAGAATCCCCGTAAATTCCTCCACGTACATGTCGGAACAACGTGCATTTCTCGTATACAAGATTGGACCAAGTTATCCAGGACATCGTGCCAAGATCAATCTAGCGGATCTAGCTTCGAGCATGAATTATTCGCCATCTGAACTTGACACAACGATTTGTCGCATATATTACGAATGTCGCGCCTGCATCTGCCACGTTGACGGACACCGATGGTTAACGGTGTATATCTGCGTAAATTGCCATTGGCCACAAAATGATAGCCGTCCTATTCGAGCGTGCATATCAACGTTAAAATCTATTTCTAGCCAAATGATGTACACAATGTATCCAATCTGTACATCAGGAAATGAGGATTAAACAAGTGCACCTATCAGTTAAGAACAGAAATGTTCTGTTTAAAGAACTTCACAAAATTACTCTCTTGTAATAATCAATAAAACTAAATCTTTCTTTTTAATTATAAGAATAAGGTCGACAACACAGAACTCTGTAAATATTAAATAAAAATGTAATTTACGTAAAAGTACTTAACCTTTGCATGTAAAAATATTTTTAATATCGTGTAATTAATATATAAAGTCGATGAATGCGTACAAAAAACGTTTAAAATTGATTAGACACAGTGATGGTTCTATGGGAACGTTTCTGCCAAAATCCTCGTGTTAAGAATCATTGCATTTAAGTAAACTTTAGCGCAAAGGTCGGTTTTTTCGTGTCTGCCGGTCTAGAAACGCTCTCATCCGTTCTTACTGATACACGGCAGCTGGTAAATCGGATCGATGAACGGCATCGAGTAACTCAAGTGCTTCCTCTTCATCGCACTGACTTTTCAAGCTACTTTTAGAGCTTGGTACTATTCTCGTAATACTATTTAGCAGCTTCGGCACGTAGCGTTCACGTCGATGCTGTAACAGCACGGCGCACACACGGAGTCGTGCTACGCATTCAAGATTTTTTTCACATTTACATAATTACGATGTGAAAAGGAGCACACGCTTGAGAAACGATGGCCTTTTTATAATTACATCGTGAAGGGGATCGATTAATTACGTACCGGAAATCCAACGAAATAATTGTTTGAGAACAATTTAATCTCTTTGCCTTGCAAATTATTGTACATAATATCTTCAATATCATTTTATCTTCACACACGTATAAAATGACTAATGTTATGCAACGATTACATCAAAGTTGCACTTTTCACGCTATTGAAATGCTGCAGACATTTTTCAACTTATGATGATAAATTAGTAATTGCTCTGCAATGTAACTGAATAGTCCAAAAATAATACGACAATTTAATTAAATATTATTTTTATCTGATTTGTACAATCAGAAATACGTAACGTGCATTTAAATGTTAAACTAATTTTAGAAACATTTAATAACATTTAATGTATCGCATGGTGTATATGTACGACAGTATTAAAAGAAAGAAAAATCAATATTACAAACGAGAGAGAATTTATATTGTGGTTTGCGGTGCACTTCCGCTTAAAATAACAAATTCCAGAATTCCATTTCTTCAGGGATTCATCAATGAAAAACGAAAATACGAGGAAATGGACTATTAATTAAAGCGATTGTCCGTCGAGGACAATAAACAATATTACGCGTTGTATATTTAACGAATATCGTCATTAGCATGCGGACATGCGGAAATACGTGGTCGTGATTCAAACGTGCGAATAATTCCTGCATGTGTATAGGGAAGTTCCGGCCCATGAGCAAGTGAACGAACGAACGAATGTAGGGAGAACAACGACAATTGTTTTGCAGCCTCGAACGCGTAAGTGACGTGGGAACGATCGATTATCGAGCCGTTTGCCGCAACAAATATGCGTAATGCTGATTCTGCGGCGTATCCCGACATCGTCGTTATTGTTCGTATTCGCATGCGTGCCTACAACGAGGTATTCGGCACTACACAAAGTTTCTAAAATTGTTTAATCTGTTTCCTCTATAGATACGCGACAATATTGACGTGTATGAATGACAGATTTTCACACTTTTGGAATGATATTCACTCCAAAAAAGGAGTGAGATTTCTTTCCTTTGGAATGAATTTCACTCCAAAACACTGAAAATCTGCCGCTCTTGTTTAAGAGTTCGGTTTTTTTTTAATAGTGGCATAGTATTTTAACCGATTTTAACTCTTTCGGAGTGAGATTTCACTCCAGGAAATTTAAAGAGTACAAGCTTAATTCGTTTCTTGAGTCGCGCTTAAATATTGATAACTTAATTGATAATTAATTATTAATACAATCAAGATTGCACGTTAACAATGTATCAAAAATTCAAAATATTTTATACATCAAAAATTCGGTACATCCCGGATGTTTTTATATACGCACAGGCTTCAATGTATTTGGAGTTCATGAGAATCCGAACTTGTACATCACACTATGCTCCAATAATGATGTGCTAACTAGAATATCAAATTTTAACACGGTGTACTCAGCGAGAGCTTTCTGACAAGTAACGCATGCGCTCGATCAAAGAAATTTAGTTCCGACGTTCGAAGATAAGCGAGATGTATCCTACTAAGAAACGAGAGCAACCGATCGGTTTAAAAGCGTGTCGAGTAAATCGACCCTGGAAAGACGGATAAGTTTTTGAATTATGTAGAGAGAATAAATTCGAATTTGACTTTTGAGCAAACCTCTGATAGAGAAGTTCACAGAGAATCAGTGATTGACCGGAAAAGAAGTTTTCATTCGCCCATTCAAACATTCTCTTCGGTTTTAAATCATCGGTATCCAAGAAAATAATTGTCAGTGTATTATATTTACATTTGTTAAAATAAATATAATTACTATAATTATAATATAGTTCTAATTATTAAATATAAGCGATTAGATTTCAGCATAGCGACGAATTTCATTTTCAATGTTCTATAAAAAATCATGCTTTACAACACAATCGTCCCATCTTCATTTATTAGACAAAAAATGTAAAAATTATTTTTTACATTTTCCGGCTGTGTATTAACAAAATTTGCAGCGTACTGAAACTGAATCAATGTAAACCTCATAAATAATCACATGGAACAGATACGTTGATGTCAATACACAATATTTGATCAAGCTTATCGTTTAATTTAATCCTCAGACTGACTATTTTATATAACCGAAAATGTGCGAAAACAGATATTTTCACGTTAAACACGACTTCACTTTTTGCCCGCGGAATATAACCGAGTTAACTGGTAGCAGCTCTGATGATATATGTATGTACTTCAAGAAATGGAATAAGTATATAATACAAGGTAATAAATTAAACTCACTCTCATCGGTCTGCGGCGCGGAGAGAATGGCGCTGTGCTTTTTCTTCACATCTTCCACGTTTGTCTGGATCCTGTCTATCATTTCGCGGATCTCCTCCACCTGTGGAAAAACACACGTCCGAGTCAGCAGTTGGCTTAAACATTGTCAAATTAATTTGTGTTTCGCAAAATCGATATTACGACCAATTTTTGCCAAATTATTTATTAATCAAGTTCTTCTGAAAGAATGATATAAAGTTTAAAAATCTTGACGTCATGTTAGTCTAAATTGACATTTTGTCTAAAACATATCTCTCAAAATTGAGCTTGCGCAACTTTGGGTAAGAGAATTAAAATATAAGATTTACTCTCTAAATCTGAATCAGTGGATAATCACTGATATCAGTGCCAAGTATGCCACTGGGTAATTAGTGACTATCCACTGATTCAGATTTAGAGAGTAAATATCTCTTTAAAATTTTTTAATGTTACAGTCATTAAAAGTAATTTATTATTGACTCCTAATATCTCCGATTATTGTATGTACAGTGTATAATAAAACATAAATTAAGAAATTATTATACAGAAACACATTTTCGAAATTATTATTTCATTAATTTCAATAATATAAAAATATTATCTTTAATTAAAACAATTAACTCATTAAAAGATTAATGAGTAAATAAGCACTCAATTGCATTGCTAATAAAAGTAGACAATTTAAATAGACATGGTCAACACTACATCGAATACTACTCTACTTAAGTAGTATAAGAACGAGTGGCGCTCGTGGTGCAAGTAGTACTAACCGCGTTTAAGTCAGGCAACCACGTACATTGCTCTTAAGTCCACATATAATTTTTAAGACTTTAAGAAAAAATATGAAAAGGTATAAAAATTCACAAAAAATTTAGAATATTGTATCTAAGTATTTAAAAATATAATTAAAGTGCCTTTTAATATAAATTAGAAATCCTCTTTAATATAAATTAAAGGTTTCGTTAATGACAAAGTTTGCAATGGCCACGAGCAATTTTGTCAAAACAAAAGTAAGAAAAAAGGGTATTGTTTATGTACCACTATAGACTTATGTAAACTTGGCACCCGACTTAAAAAAAAATTTTTTTAGTACGCATTAAATTAAGCTCGATTTGTATCCGTTTGTACCACTTTCCTTTTCATTTATACTTCAAGGGGTTCAAAATTATAAAGAATTGAAAAAATGCCAGCACCCCACTTTAAGATATTTTAAGTCTGTAAACGGGTACTGTTTCGGGATCGTTTGTATGTGTTTGTATCACCACCAGTTTCATTTGTATCCTTAAGGGAGTGATTGTACCGAATTTTCAAAACAAGGTGAGAACTAATTTCCTAAGATATTTTAATTTTGTCTCGAGCGGCGTGTTTGCCAGGCAATCCCCACCCCGCGCATTGAGCGATCGATGGGTGTATATTTGACACTTGACAATAATAGATCAGGCAAACGCGTTTTTTTATTCGATTATTTTTAAAAATTAATATCTCGTTAACTATTGCGAAAATTACAAAATGGTAGAAGACTTTTCGACTCAGTTCAGTGCGCTCTACCTGCTCGCGAGAAGTGATCCCGTAGATCGGGGACACCATGTATACGTTATGTATATATACATATTTATTATATATACATATATGTATTATATACAGAATGTCCCGAATTTAAATGGCCAAACTTCAGAAGCGTGTAGAGAATTATCGCATGTGAATTACAAATACGACCCAAAAGTAAAATCCACGTTTGGAAAAAGTATGTGTGCAATACATTTACAAGAAACTGCATCTTGTTTCTCAAGCAGGTGTATTTATGCGAGTAAAAACATTTTACCATAGAACAAGGAAAAGCTTGCAAGACGCGATCGATAAAATATCTCGTTTAAAGATTCTAGCGCGGAATTTTTACGAAATACTGTTTCGCCAGAGTCATAGAATTTTATACGGAGTGTTTCGTTATCTTACGATATTTTATACCTACATATAAAAAGAAGCGAAAGGAGGAACTGTGCATTATCCTCGTTAAGATCGATATAATCTTGCTGATATTGGTTTAACCTACTTCTACTTTTTTTTTTTACTGTCGGTATTTTCTTATACTTTCGATCACATCACAACGTCGGAAATGAATATGTAGAAGCAACAAATTAGTTAGTCACTCACCTCCGCGAAAAATTCCGTCATGAAGTCATCCGGCGCCCCGACGTTGACGGACACATCGTCCGCCACATCGTCATCGTCTGACTGGGCCTGTACAAGAAACAAAATTATTTATTAAAAACAGAATACTATAATACAGTAATTTCTAGTTTTAAAAATACTTTTTTGTAATTAATGTAACAACAGACTAATAAACAATTTAAAAACCTCATTTAATTACATTAAATGATATATTTAAGTAATGTAATTCTAGTTCTCTCTCATTAAAATAATAATCTTTAATTCCGTATCTCTATCTTATACTTGTTTATACACTTGTTTATATAACTTAAGAATGTACATTTATAATAGGCCAGAGTAATGGCTGAGATTTTCAGATATTATGCAAGAAGTTTATCAATTAAACAATAAGAATCTTATTGGACCGTACGTGTGAATACACAACCAATAGAAAATAAAGCTCATAACGGTCGAAGCTGGATCTTTAGTGCTTAAATAATTCAGTGTGACTTTATAAACTACGCAACACAAATCCTGTCAAATTGCGCGCTGAATTGATTTTTTTGGTACAAAAAAAATACATAATTACTTTAAAAAGAATATGTAAGCAAAATGGATAATTTTTTAAATAAGCAACTATGCGTTTCTTTACACCAATTGATTCATCTTATTATCCTGTTTATAAAAGTATTGAGGTACGATTATAAAAAAATTAACAGTGTACGAGATATTTAATATTTCATGTCAATGATAGACTAAAGTATAAAATATCTCGTAAACTATTGATGTATCTCCTTAATATTTTTATATGCAGAATAATTAGAGGAATCATATTATGTAAAAAAATTTACATAATTCTATTTAAAAAAATAAAAGTCGCCTTAAAATCTTAGAGGCACGTAATGAGGATCTGTGATCATCAAAAGATATTCCCCTTGAAACAAAAGTAAGTTCCACTTGAAATATTTTTTTGGAATAACGAATAATTTGAAAGATAAATGCATTCGAAGATTCAACTGGGACACTTTGTGTGTGTGTGTGTGTGTGTGTGTGTGTGAGAGAGAGAGTTAGTGAGCTCTATCATAACTGGAACTTTCCCTATACTAAACTATAGAAAACTGCAGCCCGACAGAGAAAAGGAAAAACAATATTGATCTTTCTGACTCTTTTCTACTTATGGTAGTAAAACAGCATTAACCAATCAGCGAATTCCTGACAAAGAAAACAGTACCAACTTTACATTAGAGTGTCCTTGTTTAGAAATTGAGACATCTTTACTCTTCGATGACTAGCTTCAGTATGTTATATTATAGAACTCACTGGTGAGAATACATGAACTTAAACATGACGCTGCCATCAAATATAACAGTGAAGTTGATAATTTAGATATAGAAGTCTGTGTGTAAAAGCATAAAAACAGAAATATATTGCATGATTATAAACTGCAGGTTTCATCTACGATTGCGTATATGTATTGCATGTACTTAATCTCTGATTCCCTTCCTTGATAACAGTGACTTCTCACGTAATATCATGATATAATCGATTTCATTCGAGTAGTGATGATCTTGCCCTCGATAGCATAATATCGTGCGTTGAAATGAACAAATTATCATTATATTATATAGATCTAAATTAGGAAATATCATTTTATATTTTAAGCGAAAATAAAATATTTAATCAAATAATTAAAAGCGAAATCGCGCTTTTATTTATTTTCTTACAATTTATTAACTGAGACTTTTACAAATTTCAAACAAAATTATGACGATTTCACATATAAAATTCATAATCATTTACAAAAAAAAATTATGATATACTGAAGTCTTGTATTTGAAATTAAAATATTTTAAATGTCATTAATGTGCAATAATAAAAAGTAATAAAGGCTGTGGGAGTGTGTGTTTTATGTGTCAACGCAGTTATTAGTGCGATTATCTTATATTTATTTAGTTTATTCCATAAATCTTGGTGTGATTTCAATGAATCGCAATATAATAGAATTGACGTTTCGTCGAGTTCTCTTTAAAACATCTTCAGAATGAATTATCCATTATTACAAATTCTTGTTCCGCAATCAAATTCTTCATGTAATAGGTTTCTCAACAGTTAACAGACTATTGGAATCACAACTGAAACCGAATACGAATTGGAGAAACACACAATATATTGGCAATTACAATTTTTTTTTAAATATTCCTCCTATACTTACCATAAGCGTCACACTCCATTACACAAATAAAAATACATAAGTAACAAAAATTTTTTCGTAGCAGACGATCATACTGATAAATGATGATAAATTTCGAGAATATATGGTACATGCAGTATACGTCTTGATACAACGGTTTCTAAGTCAAGACTCATTAATGTGAATCACATTACATTTTTATTATCTTATTTTATCTCATCTTTCGTCTTACCTCATTTCATTATATATTTTTTTTGCGTGTAGGTAAATAGATTGTTATCAATTAATCTTAAAAAAATCACGAACTACTTTATCGCCTACATTGAACCATTCTATTCAATGAATAAAGATTATATATATATATATATATATATAATTAAATCAGTAATTGAATTATTATAGCTTATTCATATTTATTTTAACAATTTATTTTTATTACAAATATAAAATAGGAAAACATAGAAAACAGTTAAAGGAATAAATTTCGTATTATCTTTAGAAAAAAATCAAGTTTGAAAAAATGTGAAAGAATTGCTTATATATAATTATATATAAAATCATGCATAGTTATGCATGAGCAATTTTTTTTATAATTCTCCAAACTTGATTGTTTTCTAAAACAAACAATGTGAAAATTATCCCTTTAACTATTTTTTATTATTATTATTATTATTAGTACACTAAAAAGTAATTTTACAAAAGAAAGAAGGATATATGAACATGTATGGATATATTTCACATATAATTATATATATACGTTTTTTAATATTTATGCATGTTACATTAGGTATGTATGCTTTACATATTTATATATATTCATGTATAAAAAATATTCTTTTACCGAGACATTAAATAATTATAGTTAAATTTTTTTCAATTTACAATAACGCGTTTCAAAACTGCACGATAATTTTAAATGATTGTAACTTTACGTAAATTTAATCTTAGTATAAATTAATGAAAGCATATTGCATCTTACAATTCGTAAAATGTTGCGAAATTACTTTTTATTGCTTCTCCGATTTCATTGCTACCTGCTAACACAACTCAACTCATAGCATACAAGACAACATTGAGTCATAAATTATGAAGGTACTAGTTATGTCTATCATATTTTTCAGTTCTAGTGAAACTACCTCGGACTTGAATTATCGGAAGCACTCTAAAGTTCCGCATGGAGATAAAAAATCATATTTTTTTTTAGTATCCTCTTTTCTAGTTGCTGATAACATTTTTTGTCAATTTAGGCACAAAGAACCGCCTTAATTAAATACGATATTTCCAATTCATATGTGTTTAATCTCGTCGGTCGATTTTCACTTAATATTATCTAAAAAGAAATAGTTCATCAATACCATTAAAATACAACCTTCCTGTAGCGAATGTATAACACAGAAAGCGTAATCGACTGATCGCTCGCGGGAAAATTTCTTTCATTACCAACAGCCATAGCGAACCACTGAGTTTTCTTTCATTATAAGTTTAATGCTGTTATATGAAAATGGAATGGAAATTCTACGGAACAAAGAATCTGCAGAATGTCATTACGTGTTCCTCGCAGAAGACTTTAAATAAATGTTAATCAAAGTTAGAGAATATTATATAATATTAAGAATTTTTTAACTGTTGTACAGAATACTAATGCATTTTTATACTCGAATACTTTGGAAAACAAAAGTAATAAATCTCTCGTACAGAAAACTAAAGAAAAATGTTAATCTAATATTATGCGATTTTACAAAAGAAATATGTATATCAATCTCTGTCATTCTTCCACTCAATAAATTACATTTTATTCTTGTGTCATTCATTAAATATGTATGAAGGACAAAATACAAAATAAATAAAACTCACGCGCGTTCTTCAAGAAATTATAAAATCGGTCAATGTGTACCAATTTATGTAATCTGCATTTATATTACGGTAATATGCATAAAATAAAACTCATGAATGTATAATGTACAAATTTTATAAAATTAAATGTACGTTTTTGTATTGAAAAACATTTATACTTTAGAATATACATAATTCTTCTCACGGCATAAACGAATACCATGCTTGTCAAATTCACGACTGTGCTCGTTCTCGATCGCCCTAGTTGTCGTTGAGGCTCTATGTGCGCTTAATCGATACGGTACTCGCATACAATTAAGAAACGATTACAGATACCGCGCGCACGGTAACGCGATGCTACAAGAGAGCTCAAGAGCGTACGTCGTTCGTGTCATTTCCCCAATCAATATCGCGTTTCCACACGGGTTAGATTTTTACAATAAATTTCTTTCGCGTAAATATTGAGCAACTGAACGGAGGATGTTGTGACCCGATAATGATGATATACTAACGTTGAACAAAATAATGATGTTATCCAACAAAGTTTAGCGCGACCAAACAGAAATCATTATGCGTTTCTGTTTCTACATACATCAGCGATGATTGAAACCGGCGTAATTCTGGTAATAAAAATTGATGGTTTCAATGCTATAAATATAAACATGAGCTGTATTTATTCGTAACAATGTAAACATGAATTTTCACATAAAATATACCTTGTCCATATATCCATAACATCACAATTTCATATTTATCGACGGTTTCCAGCCAATTTTCAAGCAAGTTTAATTACAAAAAGTATTTAATTGCCAATCTACATTTTTCAATAGCCAAAATATAAAATTTCATTTATGTAACATTCTCTGACAATTCAAGATAAATTTTATTAATATAATTTGAAATTTCATAGCTCGGATTTCCTACAAACGCGCTTACTAAAAATTAATATAATTTTAACATTTCATTGTAAGCTTTTTTGCAGTTATATGTATTCAGGATTGTATATACATATTTAGATGCTATCACAACGTAATTTTCGCACGATCGAGCAACGTTCTTATTTCGA